CATTCCTCATAGAAATAGAAAAAGCAGTAATGAAATTTATTTGGAAAAATAAGAAACTCAGAATAGCTAAAGCAATCCTTAGCAAGAAGAATGAAGTAGCATCACTATACCAGACTTTAAACAATACTACAGAGCAATACTAACAAAAACAGCATGCTATTGGCACCAAAGCAGACGGGTAGACCAATGGTACAGAATAGAGGACACAGAGACTAACCCACAAAATTACAATCCTCTTATATTAGACAAAGGTGCCCAAAACATGCACTGGAGAAAAGAAAACTAGAGATTCATATGCAACAAAATGAAAAAAACCCCTCTCTCTCACCCTGCACAAAACTCAACTCAAAATGGATCAAGGATTTAGGAATAAAACCAGAGACTCTGGATGTAATAGAAGAAAAAGGCCCTAATCTCCATCATGTGGGATTAGGCCCCAACTTCCTTAATAAGACTCCTTATTAATTCTTACACCTGTAAGCATTAAAATCAAGAATCAATAAATGGAATGGACTCAAACTAAAAAGTTTCTTCTTAGCAAAGGAAACAATCTATGAAGTGAATAGAGAGCCTACATCTTGGGAGCAAATCTTTATCCATCACACATCAGATAGAGCACTAATCTCTAGGGTATATAAAGAACTCAAAAAGCTAAGCACCAAAAAAACAAGAAACCCAATCAATAAATGGGCCAAGGACCTGAACAGATACTTCTCAGAAGATGATATACACTCAATCAACAAATATATGAAAAAATGTTCATTATCACTAGCAATGAGAGAAATGGAAATCAAAACCACTCTAAGATATCATCTCACTCCAGTCAGAATGGCGCCTGTTATGAATACAAACAACAATAAGTGTTGGTGAGGATGTGGGGAAAAAGGCACACTCATACATTGCTGGTGGGGCTGCAAATTGGTGCAGCCAATATGGAAAACAGTATGGAGATTTCTTGGAAAATTGGGAATGGAACCACTATTTGACCTGGCTGTCCCTCTCCTTGGCCTATACCCAAGGGACTTAAAAACAGCATACTACAGGGACACTGTCACATCAATGTTTACAGCAGCACAATTCACAATAGCTAAACTGTGGAACCAACTTAGATGCCCTTCAATAGATGAATAGATTTTTTTAAAATGTGGCATATATACACAATGGAACATTACTCAGCAATAAAAGAGAATAATATCATGGCATTTGAAGGTAAATGGATGAAGTTAGAGAAGATAATGCTAAGTGAAGTTAGCCAATCCCCCCCAAAAAACAAATGCTGAATGTTTTCTCTGATGTAAGGAGGCTGACTCATAGTGGGGTAGGGAGGGGGAGCATGGGAGGAACAGATGAACTCTAGATAGGGCAGAGGGTTGGGTGGGGAAGGGAAGAGGGACATGGGGTTAGAAATGATGGTAGAATGTGATGGACATTATTATCCAAACTACATGTATGAAGACATAAATTGGTGTGAATATACTTTGTATACAACCAGAGTTGAAAAATTGTGCTGTGTATGTGTAATAAGAATTGTAATGCATTCCGCTGTCATATATAAATTAAAAAATTAACTAAAAAAAGAAAACTCTGTAGAAGAACAGACAAAGGAGAAGACAATCATATATTAGCATTAGAAAACAAATTTGCCCTTTTAAATTAGACTCCATATATAAGAGAGTTTATGTTACATTTTTCTTTGGGTTATTTCACTTGGCATAGATCTTTTTATTTTTTATTTATTTATTTTTTTTTGCTTTTTGAGAGACCTTTATTTATTTTTTTATTTATATGTGGTGCTAAGAATCGAACCCAGTGCTTCACACATGACAAGCAAGTGTGCTACCACTAAGCAACAGCCACAGCCCTTGGCATAGATCTTCAAGTTTAATCCACATCATCAAAAATGACAGTATCATCTTTTCAAAAGCTAAACAATTCACACAGACATACCAACAATTTTTTTTTTGTTCAGTCTTCCTTCAGTGTATATTGTGTTTTTTTCTACATATTAGCTACTGTTAGGGAAGCTGAAATACGTATTGGAGTGCAGATATGCCCACAAGGGCTGTTTCATGTCCTTAATATACATACCTGGAAGAGAAATTGTGAAGTTATTGAATACCTCTACTTTCATTTCATTTGAGGAACCTGCACAGTTTTTTCCATGGTGTTTGTACCAATTTATATCCCCACCAATATTTTATATGTGCCTCCTTTTCTCCATATTCTGGGCAAACTATGGTAACACCTATAAATTCTGAGAAAATATTTGCTAAAATATTAATGTGCCTATGTGTACATGGAACTCATGCAAGTCAATATAGAAAAAAGAAGAACATCAAATAACCTGATTGATATGGGCCAGAAACTGAATAGACATTTTTTTAAAAAAGACATAAAATGGCTAACAGGCACTCAGCATTACTGATCACCAGGAATTGTAAATAAAAACCCTAATTTGGATCCTGTACCTCATTTATTTCACATAATAAAAATAAGTACCAACTACAGCAGGTAATTTCTATTCCACCACAGAAAACCCTGAGATGTCATGCATGGGCTACCCAAACTCTCTTTCAGCAAACATTATTCTTTCTCAACTGCCAAGTCTAGAAAACTGGAATACAACTTAGAAATACATCCCCAGATGGGCAAGTGATTAAAGTAAACCCAATAAGAAGTACAATATAGGGCTGGGGCTATAGCTTAGTGGTAGAGTACTTGTCTCGCACATGTAAGGCACTAGGTTCAATCCTCAGCACCATATAAAAATAAATAAATAAAGGTATTAAATCCATCTACTACTAGAAAAATAAAAAAGAAGTACAATATATTAATAAACCTATAGGTAAAGAATTAGAATATATGAATGGAAGTATCACAATGACATTCATTGGAGACATTCTCATAAAGAAAAGCCCAGACCCCAGTGAATTGTACTATAGTTGAATAAATTAATACCAATGCTTCAATGTTACCTCCGAAAAATACAGAAGACAATAAAATATTGAGTATTGTGGCTGGGGTGGACTTTTGGGAGATGTTAGTTAAATCATAGAAAACTTCAGTTAGATGGGGAAATTCAAAAGATCTATTGAACAATGTGGTGATGACAGGTGATAAGGATGCAATTTTTTTTTCTTGAAAATCACCCAGAGAGTAGATTTTAGTGTTCTTAGCACAGAATTAACTATGTGAAGTAATGTATGATTAATAAGATTGTTTTAGCAATATTATAATATGATGGTATTATGTTTCATCATATTTTATATTAAAATACACATTTTTGCTTTCAATAATTTTTTTAATGGAAGAGAAAATTTACATATGTATTGTTTGCATAAACTACTACCCAGATAACATGCAATAATCTTTCTTAAAGAAAGCTATAAGCCTTTATCTATTATAAATGTAGACATATATCTTCAAAAGTACGGGCAAGTTGAATGAAGACATAATAACTACAAGAAACCAAGCACGATTATCTCATAAACACAAATGTGATTTAGAGAATAAAAGCAATATAACAAACTACCATAATGCCATAATGTAAAACAATTAATTTGACAGAGACTAACTGGATTTGTCTAAATGTAGACCAATCCAGGGTTCCTCCAGGATAAAATCTGTTGCACTTGAGAGCTACAGGAGGGCTTCTTAGACAAGCTAAAAGGCATCCATAGAATCAAATAGGTGACAGTGCCACCGAAGGTAAAAGCTGGGTGTTTATCTCAGGGAATGATGAGACAAAAGAGTGCTGACTTTGCTGTTTGTATTCATTATTTAACTGGAAGTTTGGATGTTGAACAATGAATAGAAATTATATTGAAAGCCTATGTAAAAATTTCTAAGGCATTCATACACACGTGAACACACAACACTAGATTCAATCAGCTCAGCAAAGCTGCAATTGACAAGACAAACACAAAAATAGAAGCTTTTTATAATGGAAACAGTCTGAAAAATAAAAATAAGAAGCAATTCTATTCAAATTTGTACAAAAAAATACATAGAAATAAATTTTACAACAGAGTGTTAAAACAGAAAGTTGAAAGTAATCAAAGAAGAGTTAAATAAATGGAAAGGTAGCTAATATTCAAGCACAAAAAGTTCAACACTCTTAAGATCACATTTTCCTTATTTATTGCATCCAATAAAATACAACAAATATGACAGTGTATCATTGTGCATCCCCATTCGAGCCGGGGATATAGCTCAGCTGGTAGAGGGCTTGTTATAACACCCTGGGTTCAATCCCCAGCACCACCACCAAAAAAAAAAAAAAGGTCCACATGCTTGTCTTCTTACTAGATCCCTCGATCTCCATGAGCACAAAGACTAAGTTGCTGAAGGAGATACCATGGGGAGGAGAACCAAGGTGCTCCCTCAACAGCCAGTTCTCCCCCAGAAGCAGAGCTGCCTGGTCAACACCTAGAACAGAGGTCTGAGTGGGCCCCACTGCACCAAGATTGCTGACCAGCCCACTCATGAGCTGGTAAGTTGTGGAGTGATTAGCAGCCTGACACATAGACCTAGTGCAGATGGGAGACCAGGGTTCAACAACACATCCACTGGGAGTTACCTTGTTGTAGGGTACAGATGAGGCAAGGCACCAAAGATAGGAGGAAACAATTTTATTTGGCTGCAGCCAGGTTCAGAGGGCACAGCTTTTGCTATAATCAATCAATCCACATGAACCCTGAGTTCAGGAAGTTTCAGAGTTTAATACCCAGCATGTAAGGAGAGGGGCTCAGAAGCTCACAGTCTGCAGAAGTTCACATAAAAGCAGCTTTTTCTTTCACTGTTTTAGGCAAGTTAACCTTTCAAGGACAACACCTGAGAAGGGGGAAGCTTCTTCTCCCCTTTCTTTCCTCCTGTCAGCTGTTACCATGGAGCCCAACTATTAACTTTCTTATCTTAGAAATGTAAACATCTCTGTGAAGCCCAGCTCAAGGCCAGAGGCACATTTCTACAAACTACTATACTGGTTGTTTGTGAAAAACTAGTAAGGGGGTGTCTAGCACCTGGAGTGCTGGTATCTTCTGGGCCAGTGGCCAAGCAAAACAGGGCAACACGAAAATAGGAAGGTTATCTACATTGGACTCTTGCAGAGACTCTTTTGCTGACAGTACTAAAATCAGCCATGGTGAAGATTTCTGGAAAGGCCCAGTTAAGACTTTTCTGTGGAGAAAGGGGGTGCTACTACAGTATCATAAAGACAAGTAAATTAATAGTGACACCTCATTATACTGTTTGCAGAGTAAAACAATGATATTTTACATATACTGCATTAAAGACATCACAATCAACCTCACCTGTGACTTTCTCTCTTGTCTTTTGAATCATCTTGTTTTTGCTGGGCTGGAACCCAGGGCCTCAATTTGCCAGAAAAGTACTGTATGGCTGAGCTGTGCCGGGTTGTTTCACCTGTTTCTTTGAACGTTTTCATGTGGCCTTCAGAAAAGTCAAAGGTACTTACTGAGCACTTCATTTCAGTTGAACCGGCCTCCTTTCCAGGGCTCAGGCCCACCCTGAACCCAGGGCAGGAAGGTCATGTGACTTAAGGTCTTAACATACTCCTCTGTGGCTCCCATGTGCATAGCACCCAATTCTACACATCCCGGGTTACCCATGGTCTGGCCCCAGCCCAGGAGGAGGTGCTGCCTGAAAAAGGGCTGGGCCTATTTCATCAGGGATTGGTTACTTTGTTGTCCAATCAGGCGCGCAGCCGGGGCAAGGGCGGGCTTCCGCAGACTGGCGCTTTCCTTGCTGGGCTGCTTGGGTCTTTTTTCCTCAGGTCGCGGGTCTTGGGCACGGATTTTGGGCGACTCTGCATAGCCAGAGAGCCCCATGAGCTCGGGTGGCTGAAGTTCCTTCGTGAGGACGGCGGGTGACCCCGGAGGCCCAAACGGAGAGTGTGCGGCCAGGGCTGGCGGGACCCGGCGGGCGGGTGAGCATTGGGAGCGGGTCGAGTCCCGGCCGGCGGGTGGCCCTGGGGCCTGTCCCCTGGTCCTGCGGGGTTGGCTGGGAGGAGGGTTCCCGGTCAGCTGCAGAGCGTGTTAGCGAGCCCCCTCGGATGGCCCTGGACCCCGGACCCTGGGTCCCTCGGGACGGACTTGGAACGGGTCCCCGGGGTTCGCTGCGGAGGATGGCATTGTCCACGCTGGAGGGTGGCCCTGGGCCCTTTCCCCTGGTCACGTGGGGAGGGCTGGCCAGCGGGTCCCCTGGTCAGCTGCAGAGCGTGGCCTCAGTGGCCAGGACCCTCATGTGCCTCCTGGTGGGTGCTTGGGTGAGAGTGAGAACCAGGGTCCCGCAGGAGGGAACATTCTCCGCTGGGGAGAGAAGAGCACAATGACCTTCCAGAACCAAATGTCCAGCTGCTCAGGTTCCCTCATTCCTAGGGAGCCACCTGGGCTGCATCCGCTGTGAGAGTGTCCCTGGGTTTGGGGATGTGTTTAGCCACCAAGCGGGGTTCCTGGAGAACTGGGGGTGACAGGCTGCTTCCCTGCGCCGGTGCTTTTTGTTTCCTTTATCACATCTCTGCCAAGAAATTCCAGTTTGTCCCCAAGTATGTAAGAAGCTCATTCCTTGATTGAATTCCTTGATTTTATGTTATTGGTTAACGTTTAATTGGATACAGTAATGTGATGTAAAGAAGAAGAGAGTTCTTGAAATAATTTTTTTAATGCTCAGTTTAGTGGGAATCTAAACACCTGTATAACCCGCCCAAAGAGAGGTGAATGGGCCCTGGTCAGGCTGCCTCTCCCTGCTCTCCCCTACCTGTGCCTGGAGGGGAGCACAGTTCCATTTTTTTTCTGTCATTCCTTGTACTTGAGCCATCTGTGAGGAGGCAGAGTTTTAGTTGGTGCTTCTTATTTGAGTTTTCAATAACTTAATGTTGAAAGCACAAAATGAGGGGTGCAGACCTCAAAGATTCAGGAAGCTGCTTATTCCTCTTCAGGACCTCTGGCACCTGGGGACTTATTTTCTGAATATGTGAATGGCCATCAGTTACAGAGGGGATTTTGGTTTTATAGGGTACAGTTGTGCTGATTTCACCATTGGAACTTGTGAGTGTGCTGTTTGGACAGTCAGGGGTAGTTATGTAGGTGAAAACTTTTAACTCAGGAGGGCAGCTGTAAAAGGTTGAGACTCATTGCTAATAAGAGAGAGAGGAGTCCAGATTGTGAGGGATGGGTATTTCTTTTTCTGGAATTGTTGTCTCCCAGAGATTCAATATATCTCTCCTTCCATTGGGGCCCATGTTATCAGGAAAGGATTTACTGGAAGGTTAATGGTGGGCTAGTTTCCCCTCACTCCTACCAAGCTGCCTTGTGTCTCCACTTTTCTTTGAGGGCTGTTTTGTAGGATTATTATTTTCCATAACTCTTCAAATGTTCCGATTAGTACTCTATCACTGTGGTGCTGTAATGTGAATTGTTGGTTCCTCTGCCTCAGTTGCTTAGACTCGTATTACTATCTGTAGGCCTCCTGGTTCCCTTCCCTGTTCCTGCTTCAGGAACATCACTTGTTTCTAGTTTAATTTTTTAATTTTACGTTCTTGACCATTTCATTCTCTTTTAAAATTTGGTCCTCAAGTGCCCACACTTCATAAGTTTTGTACATGTTGGGAAATCATTGTTAGGTTATAGATTGTGGATTAATTCAAATTACTAGAAAATTTCAGTGCAGTGTATATACACATGTGTATTCATCCCTTATACTATCTATCCTTGTTTACTTCCATGTGGCTATATATTGCTTTTTGCTGAATACCATTTATGAGAACGTTTTTCTCTGTATTTCCATGTTCCTCTGGGCACAGAGTCACAAGCATTTGTGAGAAATTACATATCTGGTGTCCAAGGCAGCCAACCCTGAGCTCAGAGAACCCATATTCATTGAAAAGGTGTTCAGTCATTTTCTCATGTTTAATTCATTTGTGAAGTTATTTTTTGTTTTGTCTTAACATACCCTATACATGAATTCTTTTTATTTTATTTTTTTGTAAAGAGTGCAGACATTTCCTCTGAGGGAGGGCAGCCTTCTTTGACCCTATCGCAGTTTGATGGAGGAGTCTCTTTTTTAATAGATGTGAGTTTATCACTTTCTTCCTTTGGAATTTTTTTATCTTCTCACATAAGAAAACCTATAGGATGGGGACATGTTGGGCTCCCAGAGGTAAATCCTTAGGTGGACCCTCCTGGCCATGGAGTTCCAACCCCTCTGTGGTACATTTCAGCAGTCAAAGTCTGGCGCCCAAATAAGTTTTGTAAGTTTGGAAATATGTATATACCTCTGCAAGTGGGTTTTCATTGAACTGTGGATGAAGCAGGCACCTTTCCTCAACTAGTTCATGTGGTTGCTTTTCCTTTTAAATTATTTTTATTGCCATATAATTAGGTTTTCATGTATTTAATAACTATATTCCTTTGTTGTCTTTTCATTTTCTTGTCTGGAAATGAGTTGACTGAGAGTTAAAGTGTGAGGAGGCCTTGGCATACAGCCCCGACCTCTTCCCCAAGATGGATGCCTGTATCCCTCCTTTCCAGTCTATTGTGACCGGGCACCCACCTTCTCTTAGCTCAGGGTTGGCAGCCTTGGACACCAAATATGTAATTTCTCACAAGTGCTTGTGACTCTGTGCCCAAAGGAACAGGAAGACAACAGGGCCTGCTTGAGAAAGGGCTTAAGTACCTGAGGAGAAATGTCCCCCTGGTGGGGCATTCCCTTGCAGGGAGAAAGTCTTGCCTGAAAAGGGCTTTTGCGTACTACCTGTCCTTCTGGCCTCATTTGTCCGAGAGTCTGATTTATCTCCTGTCACTCAGAGTCCCAGGGTGTACATATGTGGCTGGGGTGAGAGAAGGGTCTTGTGGAGTCCTGGCCAGTGAGGAGGCAGCTGGTGGGAGGGGGTGGCCTTCCACAGTCTAACAGGACTTTCTCTCTCACCCTGTACAGCTCAGAATCCATCTCCAGGACTGTGTCTTCTCTGCTGTGTGAGGCCCAAGTGGCTCTGGCTCAGGTCTATCTCTTTTTGACCTGCAGGTGCTATGAGGTCCACAGGAAGGATGTCAGGACTCCCCAGAAGGCAGGAAATGGTGAGTGTGTGGGGCCAGGAGTGCTCAGGGAAGTGGGATGGTTAGAACTGGTGGGAACCAGCTGTGGCTGGTCTCTGGCCTCCTACTGTCAGTTCCAGAGTTCAGCCAACCCAGACCTGAGTCATGGTGTGGGCTGGTGCAGGTAACAGAACCCTCTCTGCACATCTGGACCCCAGCCCTAGGCCCTCAGTGTGCAGTGAAGGCAGAGGGCCTCAGGGATCCTGCCTCAGGTGTGGGGCTCCTTCCTATGTGGAGGATTCTGGTCTGAGGGGGTCCATGTCCCTCCTTCTTCTGAAGAGTCATCTGGTTTTCCCCCACCTAGCCATTGTTAGGGCGCTCATTAGATCCTTTAAATTCGAGCTCTCTTCACATTTTCAGACTTTGACTCCCCACTCAAGTTCCCAGAATTCTCCCCTCTTTGCTCCTTATACTGCATTCAGTGGGCACAGCCTCGTAGATTTGTTTCTGTTTCTGAATTTGTCATGTAGTGAGAGCAGAAAAGAGTTACCTGGAACTCCACTGTTAAAACTCTGTTCCTCTCTTCCTTCCTTTACCTTCCCTAGGCATAGACGCCTTATCAGAATAACTTGTGCAGAGGTTTCCATTGGACCCTCCAGGGTCCTGTGTCCTCAGCCACTGTCCTTTCCTGTGGCTGCCACTTGTTGCAGCCAGTGGAGGCTGCCCAGTGTCCTGCAAAGGGTAGGCAATTTCAGGCCCTGGGTCGGCACAGCCTGAGGTGTGGGATGCAGCCTCTCAGGGGAGCAGCTGGAGGTCCTGGGGCTGAGGAATCTCCTGGAATAGGCCTCATCTAGAGACCTGTCATCTTGGGACATTGTTTTATCCACTCCCTGTTCCCATTTCTCTGATACCAGTGGACAGTTAGCCTGGAGATGCTGGTGCTGAGGGGCCAGGTCAGCAGTGATTCTTGCCCTTGCATTCTCTCACAGTTGTGAAGGAGGAAAATTCTCCCAGAGCATAGGACCACCCACCCCAGTGCAGTGCTGTGCAAACCTGAAAAGCCTGGAGTCATGGTCTGGGTCTCCTGGGAGGGTAATCATGGAGTGTTTCAGTGAGCTGGACCAGGTAGGAGGATGCCCAGCTCACAGGGACCTTACCTGCTCCTTGAGCCTGACATGTCTGCTCCCTCAGCACAAGCCCTTTATTTATCACTTTGAAATGATCTGCCCCCTTATATGACAGCCAGATTTCCTTAAATGTGAATGTATTTATTTAGAGCTGAGCAAGGTAGAATATTTTAAAAGAGGTAAAAAAGAAATGAATTTAAAAAGAAAACAGATTTTTTTTGGTATATGATAAAAATTCTTAAGTTACCTTTCTGATTTGTTTAGAACATGTAGAACATTTCTGAGACCTCACTTTTTTTTTTTTTTTTTTTTTAATTTGATTTCAAATGGAGTTACATATGGTAGGTTCATGAATGCTACTTTAGTGGCTGGGGTTGTGGCTTAGTGGCAGAGTGCTTGCCTAGCATGTGTGAAGCACTTGGTCTCTCAACACTGCGTATAAATAAATTAAAAAAAGGTTCATTGACATCTAAAAAAATAAAAGAATGCTACTTTAGAAAATGAAAAATCCGTGTGTCATTGTTGCTGTAGAAAATGTTTCATTTTCACAAAAGGTGTGGTAGGTAAATTTATACTCTGTGGATTCATGAGAATATTAGTTCCCTTGTATAATGAAGAACTTGTCACAATGGATAACTTCTCTTTGCTTCCTGTTACCTGAACTTGGAAGATTACTACTGAATTTCATGGGACAAATATGGCAATTGCCACAAATATCAAAGTATGGTCCTTTGTTTATGAATTGATGTAAGTGTCCTGGAAATTGTTATTAAATGTCATCTCTGTTGGCTGAATAAAACATGTTTTCGTGAGATTATTATAATTCATGAGCATCTTTCATGATCTTATCTGATTCCAAATGCCCCCTCCTAATGCCACCCAATGGGTGTTCACCTTTCACCTTGTGAATCTTGGGGTTGAAATAGACCTTCAATCTATAATATTACCTGATGGTATTCTCTACAAGGTGTTGGAGACTCCTGGACATTTTGGCTACTCTTAGATATTTGTCTACTATTTCCACTTGTAGAAATAGTTTTCTGAATTTCCTCAACAAAGACATCCTGGTCTTGGATTTCATAGAATTTAAGAAATGAAGCTAGAGAATCAATTGAGCTGCTTCTTTCTCCACGATTTAATAAAATTGCATGCAATTCATTTCTCCTTTTTTCATTATTGCTTAGTTATATTTTTGCCAGGGTGCTGAATCCAGCCATCAGTGGTCCACGCAGGTTCCCTGGCTTGGCTGCCAGAAACTGTTAACATTGCAATATGTCATATAGGCTACACCTTGAGGAATGAGTTGGAAGTGTTACCTGCTTCCTCTTAGAGGGGATTAAGGGTAGTTTTCATTGCCTCCTTAGTGTGGTGCAGAATCCACCATGACACCCCTGGGCCATGCCTTTCCTCTGATGACAGTTATTATCACTTCATTAACTTGTTCATGTTGTGTATTTCTCTTTTTGTGTGAGTTATGGTAGATTGTTTTCCTCCTGGAGTTGGTCCAGTTCATCTGAATTCTCAAATTGTGTCCGACAGTTATTCATAATATTCCTTTATGGTTCTTTTACTCCCCCTGAATAATGGTGTCTTTCATTTCTACTGAGTAAGTTTTGTTTCTGTTTTCTTAGTTGTGCTATCTGTTACAAGCATGTCCACAAAAAAACCTGCTTTTTATTTTTTATTTTTTAATAGTTATAGATGGACAGCATGCCTTTATGCATGGGCTCTCTCTCATCTAGTGAGGAGGTCCATGGAATAGGTAGAGGAGAGTGTGGCTGCAGAGTCATGAATCAAGACCTCCAGAGATCTCACAGGAAGCAGGTCTGATTTGATTGTGCAGTTACCATGTATATATACGTGGCCAGTAGTTAAGCAGATTTTAGGCAGCCACCAATACAATTTCTGGCCAACTGTCCTTGTAGCAACCGATTAAGGAGTGGCCGTAGAGCAGCACTGGGACCACAACATGTGACCTCATGCTCAGGGTGCTGTGCCTACGGAGTAAGCAGCCTGCCTCTCAAGCGCCCTTAACATACGCCATATATACAGTACTCTATGCACCTGTTCCCATACCTGTATTTGTTTAGTTTTTTATGCTGTGCTAAGGATTGAACCCAGTGCCTCACACATGCTAGGCAAGTGCTCTGCCTTTGAGCTACAGCCTCAGCCCTGAAGAGCTTGCTTTTGAGTTGATTCTCTATTGATTTCCTATCACAGTTTCATATGCTAGCATCGGATGTAGGTTCTCCTTGCTGTTTGTTCTTTAGTTCCTGAAGTGGAAGGATGAAGGGTTGATTTTTATTCTTTTGTAATGTAAGCCTTCAGCACCTCTAATTCTCCCTAAGCCCTGCCTGTGCTCTGTTCCACAAAGTTTCCTAAGATGCAGTTTCAGTTCTTTTCCTTTGAAATATTCAGACTGATCCTGAGACACCCTTGACCCATGTGCTGTTTAGAACTTTGGGATTTGACCTGCAGATATCTGGAGGTCACCCAGCTGTGTTTCTGTTACTAACGCCATGGTAATTCCAGTGTTCCTGGTGCCATGTTGGGATTTGGTAGCCTTCTGCACTAACGCCTGTCGTGGCTGAAGGTGGCTGGTCGTGGATACTTCCCTGTGATGTTGAGAAGGATGTGTGCTGGGCTGCTGTTGGCTAAGTGCCCTAGAGGTACCTGTGGTGGGTGTGCTGTTGAGCTAGATACCACGACAGCTCTTCTGTGTGCTCCAGCTGTCGCTCACTGTCAGGCGATTGCCTCTGACTCCTCTGTCACTGGATTTCACCGCGTGTCCATGTGAGTCTCTCAGTTGTTCATCAGGTGTTTTGACCTGTTGTAGGTCGTACATCTTAAAAGATTCCGGCAGTTGGTTTTAAGTCTTATTACTGAGTCTAGTGTCCATGTTTTCTCAAAAAATAACTGAAGCATTTTTTCCCCATTGGTGAGATGTACTTTGCTCTTTATGTGTATTCCTTATTTTGTTGCTTTTGCAAAGTGGGTATTTGAATATTATAATCGTTTCTCCTCTGAAATCAGTTTTTCCCTCTATTCAGAGTTTGCCCTTGTTTGTTGAAGACTGTAGCCATTGTGTGTAGTGACTTTCCAGAGTATGTTTGGAGACAGTAGTTTAGTTGCTCGGTGTACTCAGAGGGTCTCTCTTAGCTTGTGTTGAGCTTGAGTTTTAATGGAGTTCCATGAGGAAATAGCTGGAAAGAAAACAAGAAACAGCAAGAGCTCAGCTCCTCCAGGGCCTGTGGATAGTGGAGCTTGGGCTGCTGCTTTAACACATGGTCATGCTGTTTAAAACCCCTTCAGCCTCAGTTCTCTGCAGACCTGAGCCTGGAGAGCAGCCTGTGGTCAGCATATGGGTCTTGGTCCTCTCTGAAAGGATTTCTCTTGGCCTGGGTGGCCTTCCACCCTGATATACCAGGGTGCTGTGAACACTCATTTCTTCTTTTTTTCTGTAGTAGGGATTGAATACAGGGACAATCTACTACTGAGCTACATTCTCCAATCTTTTTTTCATTTTGAAGCAGGTTCTTGCTATGTAGCCCTGCATAGATTGCGACATGTTATCCTCCCACCTCAGCTTCCTAAATCCCTGCGATTTGAGCCACTGTGCCCATCTGAATACTCTAGTTTTTTGTTTTTGTTTTTGGATACCAGGGATTGAACATGGTAGTGCCAAACCACTGAGCAACATCCTCAGCTCTTTTTATTTTTTAGAGACAGGTTCTCGCTAAGTTGCTTAGGACCTAGCCAAGTTCTAAGGCTGGCTTTGACTTGTGATCTTCCTACATCAGCCTCCTAAATCACTAGGATTTGAGCTGTTCACCACCACATCTTGCCTGAATATTGTAATTTCTGAGAATATATTTTATTGTACTTTTCTCTCTCACACTTCACATTGTGATTTTT